TTACTAAGGCAGCGCTAACTGAGAATTCTGATACGACCAAATAAAGGGTCAGGATATCTTTTTCTTTAGGACTTACCAGCATGGGTTGAGGGCTTGAAAGGCCTCGTCGCATTGCTCATCCCACCGGAAGGTTGCTTTTAACACTTTGAAGAAAGGTTGGGATTTATCACTTGATTGCGAGACGAAACGGTTGAGCGCGCACTATTCTTCCAGTTAGGCGCTGCGTTTCTCTGGTGTTGGTAGGGGGTTTCATTTCGAGGACGACCTTATCCTTTTCGGGATTTGCTTCGATACCTCTACTGTTGACTATAAACCCTAGGAACTTCCCTGCTGATACCCCAAAGGTGCATTTTACCGGGTTTAACTTCATTCTGTATCGGCGCATAATCTCGAAAGATTCCTCTAGGTGGTGGATATGGGATTCGGCCTTAAGTGATATTACCAACATATCGTCTATGTAGACTTTCATGGTCAGACCGAGCTTTTTGCAGAATATTTTGTTGACTAACCTTTGATAGGTAGCTTTGGCATTTTTTAAGCCGAAGGGCATCACTTGGTAGCAATAGACCCCTTGTTCTATGATGAACGATGTCTTCTCCTGGTCGTTAGGGTCCATTCTAATTTGATTGTAGCCCGAAAAGACATCCATGAAGCTGAGGAGCTTGTGGCCAGCGTTTGCATCGACGATGAGATCTATTCGAGGTAAGGGGAAACTATACTTGGGGCATGCCCGGTTCAGGTCGGTAAAATTGATACAGAGTCGCTATTTGCCGTTCACCTTTCTTACGAGCACGACATTGGCTAGCCAAGTCGGGTAATCAACCTCCCTGATGGCTTTGGGCCGTAGCAACTTAGCCACCTCCTCGTTAATGGTTTTTTGCCTTTCCGGCGCGAAGCTTCTTCTCTTCTGCCTGATAGGTTTGCAACTTGGATCAACACTCAAACGATGCACGATCACTGTGGGGTCTATTCCCTCCATGTCCTCTTGTTTCCAGGCGAAAGCATCAACATTTGCATTTAGGAATGAGATGAGCTTCTCCTTGACGGATGGAAGCAACATTGACCCTATGAACACCACGTGCCCCGGGTCTTTGTCCAACTGTATGGGCTCCAACTGCTCTATAGGGGTAGGTCTGGTTTCTAATTTGTCTCTCATGTTCAGGTCCTTGAGCTAGACCGATTCTACCTCCCTTTGTTTCATTGACGCAACATAGCATTCTCTGGCCAAGTGTTGGTTCTCCCTGACCATGCCGACCCCATTTTCCGTGGGGAATTTCATCACCAAATGATATGCCGAAGGTATCGCTTTGATGGAGTTGAGAGATGGCCTTCCCAACAGGATGTTGTAGGCAGATGAAACGTCTATTACTAGGAACCGAGCGGTGGTCGTAGCCTGGCAGGGCTGTTCCCCGACGGTGAGGATGAGTTGGATGGATCCAACTGGCAGAACCTTTTCGCCTGAGAAATCTAGTAGGTGGGATTTCACGGGTTCGAGGTTCGATCTTTCTATGCCCAGTTGGTCGAAAGCCGACAAGAAAATGATATTCGCGGAGCTTCCGTTGTCGATGAGTACCCGGTGCACGGTTTTGTTGGCGACAATCGCCTTTATGACTAGGGGGTCATCATGTGGCTGCTAGCATTCTCCGAGGTCCGCATCTGAGAAATTGATCTCTATTTCTTGGCGGGGCGCCTTTCGTACGGTATGAATTTCAAGGTGATCTTCCGAACGTGCCTTCCGAGCATGTACTCTACGTGCTGAGCTGGATTCGCCTCCTCCGGCAAACCCACCAGAGATTACGCGAATTTTGCCAAGGGCTTGTTGGTGCTATTGAGGGGGTTCTGCGGCAGTTGGGTCTTCTCGGCCTTGATTATTCTGAATTCTTCCATCCGCCGCCACGTAGTGGCGCATGTGTCCCATCTGAATTAGATATTCTATCTCTTTCTTGAGTTGTATGCAGTCATATGTCTCGTGACCGGTGTCTTTGTAGTACTCACAGTACTTAGTGGCGTCCCGCCTACTAGGGTCAGATTTCATTCGCGGTGGCCACCAGATGAACCTTTCGTTTTGGACCTCGTGGAGGACCTGAGCAATCGAGGTGACAAGGGGCGGGAGTTGAGCTAGAGCATACTGCGGCTGCAGCTCTTGCAGAGTTGGTCCTAGTCGATCTTGGATATTTTCCCTTCTTTTAGGGGAAGGCTCTCTCCCTCTTCTCGGAGAGCGGTCTCTTCTTAGGGACTAGTTGCGCCTCTTCTCTCTCTTGGGGCTATGGTCCCGCTTCTTCTTGTCCCCTTCCGGCATTGCTGAACTTCTTTTCAAGTGAATAGCTTCTTCGCCATTAATGTATTTTTCAGCCTTTGCTAACACCTCAGCCATAGTAGCCTAAGGGTTCTTAGTAATCGAGAAAAGAAGGTCCTTGGACTGCACTCCGAGTCCCGACATGAAGGTGGTTAACGCGAATTTATCGTCCACGCTTTCCACCTTCAGGCATTCCTAGTTAAAGCGTTGCATGTAACTTCTGAGGGACTCACTTGGTCCCTGTTTGACACTCAACAGGTGGTAGGACGGCTTTCTGTACGTTCTTGCTCCGATGAAGTGTGAGACGAACTGTATTGACAGTTCCCTGAAGGAGGAGATTGACGATGTTTATAACGTGTTGAACCAAGCTATTGCTGATCCCTTTAGGGTGATGGCAAAAGCTCGGCAATGAATCAGGTCGGGATACCCCTGGAGTTCCATCTGATTCTTGTAGGAGTTTAAGTGGTCGACTGGGCCTTTGGTCCCGTCGAATGCCTCTATCGACGGCATCCGAAACTTCTGAGGGAGAGGGAAATGGAGGACCACATGTGTAAATGACGACTCAATTTGCTGGACTAGGGCATCCATGGTGTCAGGGGCCTTTCCTCTAACCACTTCTTTCACGTTGCCCAGCTCTCGCTGGAGTTCACAGATTCTCTACTCCCATATGCGATCATCGATTTTGAACGGGGGATGAGGTATGTCCTGTCGGAAGGCAGCTGTAGCCCGGATATGGGCCTCGTCTTCGTTTTGTCCTTCGGGATGTCTTCTCTGATGATTTTCTCTGGAGTGGCTGTGCTCGTGGAGCTTTGTAACCCCATTTGGTGGAGCCTAGTGTCCCCGAAGGGGAGCATCGTGACCTGCTGGTGGTGGAGGGGGCTCTTGTTGAGCTGGTGGGAATGGAGGGAGCTGGTGAGTCCGTATCCATTCCAACAGCTCTTGGTTCTGCTTCATAAGTTGCATCGTGGTTCGGTGAAAGGTATCCATCCCTTCCAGAGGGGGAAGGTTTGTCGCTATGAAGTGGTTTTCGGCGTCCACTTCAGGAATCAGGGGATTCTCTCATAGGTTCTGGTGGGCTTGAGGGTTGGCAGAAACTTTACTCATATTCCGAGTTGAAACCATCAAATAGAAATCAGATAAGGAAACAATGAAATCCGTTCCCACAGACGGCGTCAACTGATGGTAGTTGGAATTTGTGGCGCAAGCCCAACTAAGGTTGGATGGTGTTATGAAAATGATTTTGCAGATGATGGATTAAACTTTTATGAACAGTTAGACAGGGAATATAAGTGGTTCACCTTAGCCGAAGGACTAAAGCTACATCCACTCTCAACGGAGTCTCTTGCTCACTGGGATTGTATGTTCATCGGCCCGCAAAGTGCCTCCAGTAACTTGGGACTCGGGGTCCACTTACAAAGAATGATTATCTAGGTATTCACTCTCAGCTTTCTACACTCTTTTGCTCTCAAATGTTCCCTGATCTTTTTCAGGGGTGATCGAGTCTCTTTTTGCTTGGGTTATCGTTATTTATTTATACTAGCTCCTCTTAGGGCCTCCAGTTGTCCTTTCTTCTGACCCCTTCCTACTTCTTCTGCCACCATGATCACTGTTCATCCGACTNATCGTTATTTATTTATACTAGCTCCTCTTAGGGCCTCCAGTTGTCCTTTCTTCTGACCCCTTCCTACTTCTTCTGCCACCATGATCACTGTTCATCCGACTCTGCCGTTACTATGATCTCTGGCGGCTTGGTGCTCCACCTTCTCTGAGATTGCTGCAGGTGTCAAGAATGGTCCCCCTGGATGCGTGGTCCCCTCTGCCTATCTAGAAATAGCTTGTATTAGGCTTTTACTCCCCAAATCGCTTTATGGTTTGAGCTGGGTCTGGACTGCTGCTCCGGGCCTCTTGGGATGGTCAGGCTTCTGGTCCACTGAGGCCCTAGCCGTGAATTTCGTCCGCATCAATTACTAATCCAAGTANCTGCTCCGGGCCTCTTGGGATGGTCAGGCTTCTGGTCCACTGAGGCCCTAGCCGTGAATTTCGTCCGCATCAATTACTAATCCAAGTATAAATACTCTTTAGAAAAATGAACAAACGTACGCAAGACTAAACTGAAAAAAGAAATACATGTTCTTAAGACTCAAAACTTATACTGACTTAATCTTCGGAGTGAATAAATCGGGTATTCACCCGACCCCTTTTCTGACCTTGTGATTATTACAAGTTCATCGATAAGAGAATTGCTATCTAAATATATTGTTGAAAATCTCCCGTGCATTTATTATAATTGAAATATAAATAAATGATTAAAATATTTATTGTATGATCAAAATATCTAATGTGGATAAAATATAAGTGTAATTATCATATTTATTAGAATTGAAATACACATTATAATATTGGCCTTGTATCGAAAGCGAAACCCGTTCATATCTTCTCCTTTTTGTCTTTTTCTGTTTCCTTTCTTCGTAGTATTTTTCGTTTCCATTCTCTTCCCGTCTCACAACATTTGGTACCAAAGATTCGCAATGAACCGATGCGGGTACTTCAGTCATTTCACCCCTTGCTATTAGCGAAATTAGGAAAACGTGTCTAGTTTTGTTTGGCCTATATTTTTCCGACTCGCATGATCACCGTGTTATAAACAAGGGGAGAGAGAGAGAGAGAGAGAGCTGTGGTCTGCTCAGCTCAGCTGAGCTCAAGAATGGCTACACGATCACCATGGCAATGTCCTTGGAAGTCGACGTCCGACTCTGATATCAAATTCTTGTATCCCTGTACTTCTACGGCTTTCAATTCCTCAATCGTCTTTCCATTTAGTATTTTTCGCAAAAAGCAAACTCGTCTCACCACTTTCTCCTCTAATTCGTCTCCTTCTTCTTCTTCATCGTCGTCGTCGTCTTCAGCGTCTTCTAGTAATGCAAACCCTAATAGTGCAAGAAAAAGATTGAGGAAATCGGTGNCGTCGTCTTCAGCGTCTTCTAGTAATGCAAACCCTAATAGTGCAAGAAAAAGATTGAGGAAATCGGTGGTAGAGCCGATCACTGAACGTGATGATGTTAAGATTGAGATCCCTTCGAGTCCAAGCAGTAGATCTCAAAAGAAGCCAACAACCCTAACCTTCAAATCTTTGTTCGGAAGAAGAGCTTTGTGGCGTAGGATACTATTCGCGTCGAGGAAAGTCAGGAGCATCATTCTTCTCAACGTCATCACTGTTATCTACGGTAAACTTCTCATTGCTTCTTATCTTTTCCCTTTAAAAGTTTTTATTTCGTTGTTGATGCAATACCTATAGAATTATCTAATATCCTCTGTGTCCAAATTAGTTCATGCCATTGTAATTTCTCTAGAGTTTTGGTAAAAATTTGAATCATAGGACGGTATGGTAATGAGTTTTCAATGTGTTCAATAGAGAGTTTGATGCTGCGGAGATGTTCAGTTGTTGCTTTGTTGTTAAAAAAAATTCAGGAAATTTTGGTGGCTCAAGAGACTTCGCATTTTCTTTTATACGTTCGATTTTTACATCATGTTTCCTTTTGTGAAAGGGTGAAAGACAGTGAAAAGGTGAAAGACTGGGCAAAATGGAACAAATTTTGGAAACTGAAGATGTAAAGTTATCAAAGTTTAATTCTACGGGGGAAATTGTGATTTGTAGAAATTTCAAGGTGCGAAGAGCAATTAACCCCCAATTTATTCATAAGACTGAAACTGGTCATTTAGAATTGGAATCCAATTCTCCAACTCTGAGCACTCATACAGGGGGTGTTCCTCTTGTATTGCTACTCAACTGACATCACAAACTGAAATGGAATATTTTCANGCAAATCTAACAACTTAATCATTAGTTCTTGACGAATTACATTCCTGATCCCACCTTTTCATTCCCTAGGAACCATCACTAGTAAGAATCCAATTCTCCAACTCTGAGCACTCATACAGGGGGTGTTCCTCTTGTATTGCTACTCAACTGACATCACAAACTGAAATGGAATATTTTCAAGTACCACATATTTTTTTTACCTGCGGAGTCACCATCCTTCTGGCCACATCAAGAAGTTCATATGGGGGTTGGCATTGAACCCTGACCTTCTTTTTCCTCATTCACAAACATATTAGGTATATGGTGTATTGGTAATATAATTTTACATGAAGAAAGCAGAGTAGGGATTTAATCCTGAATAGTACTATGGAGTAATACNTTTTTTTTACCTGCCGAGTCACCATCCTTCTGGCCACATCAAGAAGTTCATATGGGGGTTGGCATTGAACCCTGACCTTCTTTTTCCTCATTCACAAACATATTAGGTATATGGTGTATTGGTAATATAATTTTACATGAAGAAAGCAGAGTAGGGATTTAATCCTGAATAGTACTATGGAGTAATACTCCTGAAGGTCCTGGATTCTTGAGGCTAAGCCTAATAATGTAAATGTGAGAAAAGTGATATTTGATGGCCTATAGTTATCCAGCGTCAATAAATACTCATGCTCATACCAAGAAATGACAGATTGTGCAGTTACAGGTTTATGAGATCTAATTTGAAATCNAAGTGATATTTGATGGCCTATAGTTATCCAGCGTCAATAAATACTCATGCTAATACCAAGAAATGACAGATTGTGCAGTTACAGGTTTATGAGATCTAATTTGAAATCATGAAAAAACAACATTTTCAAGCTAGCTTGTCAAAGATGCATGGATAACTATTTGAAAATTATTTGTGGTTTTATGTTTCAGCTAGCAACATTCCAGTTATAAAAGAAGTGGAAGCAATTGTGGACCCGGGAACCTTCACAATTGTGAGATTTGCTTTGTCAGCGATACCTTTTGTCCCATTTGTGTTACAAGCACGAGGTGATGTCCAGACTCGTAATGCAGGCATAGAGCTGGGATTTTGGGTCAGCTTAGGCTACCTGATGCAGGCACTAGGGCTGCTCACATCTGATGCAGGGCGGGCTTCTTTTATTTCTATGTTCACTGTAAGGAAGACTCCTCCCAATTCACTTGAGCTCATAATTTGTTGACTAGAAGCTTCTTGCCATGTGAGAGTACTTACTGGTACAATTATGGCAATTATTTGGAGAGTTGATCAGGTGATTGTGGTTCCCTTGCTTGATGGGATGTTAGGAGCCGTAGTTCCTGTGCGTACCTGGTTTGGAGCTTTGATGTCTATAGTTGGGGTTGCGATGCTGGAATCCAGTGGATCACCTCCAAGTGTAAGTATGTTTAAATGTTTACAGCAATTATCCATTTGAACATTGTTTGTCGGACATGATAATGATGACACTAGGTGCAAGAATCTTTCAAACGAAGATGCTCATTTAGGCAGTTAATTGCACAATTTTTCTCTGCCTATCTATATGTCCCTTTTTGTTCTGACATTTCAGGTTGGAGACCTATTGAATTTCTTAAGTGCAGTGTTTTTTGGAGTTCACATGCTAAGAACTGAACATATTTCACGAAATACAACTAAAGAAAACTTCTTACCACTCCTAGGCTATGAGGTTAGTTCATGAATCATTAGTGAGTTATTCCACCCCTGCACTTCTTTGTCAACGCTCCCTTTTATTGATTCTATTTGGGTTGTCAATATCATTCAAGGCTTCTACATCTATAATACTCAGGTATGTGTTGTTGCTCTCCTATCAACTGTGTGGTATTTAGTTGAAGGCTGGTTTGGTGGCATCCAAGAGTTCAATCCTTCGTCTTGGACATGGACAGTGTTTTACCATTGGATGGTAGAATTTCCGTGGATACCTGCACTTTACACTGGCATATTTTCAACAGGGTTATGCTTATGGATAGAGGTATGATCCCTGGGAGCTGAGCCTATGATGATCTCCTTAGTTTTGGAAGGATTGTATATTTCTACTGCTTCCTCATCTTGATAGGGTTCCCTGAATATCCTTCAATACAACATATGTTCAACGAACATCTAATAATTTAATAATTCTATTACCTGATAGTTTTGTGAGACACCCAGTTCTTTTGATGGTTGATAATTTGTTAAATCTATCAAAAAATTTCCAGCTATGTATTCATGTATATATCTCTTTGTAAGTTAATGTGGAATTTGTACTTAGGAGGGTGATTGAAAAACTTTGTCGTGACGTAGATGGGATATAATGTATTGTCATTGTCAATAAATTCTTTATCACCTTTGTTCAAATGCATATTTTGTTTTAGGAAAATTGGATAGTTATGAGCAAAATTTTGAATTAGTCAAATTCATTGAGAAACTTAATCCTTTATATCTCTATTAATCTGAAATCTTTGGATCTGTTAAGGTTCTTAATTACAGAGAGTGGACTGTCCAAGAAATCATGAAATGCCCTTTTGGCCCTTTTTCTTTTCTCCTTATCTTTTTCATTTTTTTTGATGGCATTTACAATTTACACCGGCTTGCTCATAACATTNAGCTGTTAAGGTTCTTAATTACAGAGAGTGGACTGTCCAAGAAATCATGAAATGTCCTTTTGGCCCTTTTTCTTTTCTCCTTTTCTTTTTCATTTTTTTTGATGGCATTTACAATTTACACCGGCTTGCTCATAACATTTTGTTTGGTCATGCCATGCTTTAGGACACATTCAATAAAATTGATGGTCTTGCAGTCATCTCATTTTCCTCCAATTGGTAGGTGCTTGTAAACAACACGACAACTTTTTTTTTGTTTTTATGTTCCACTCAGTCATCGCACTTTAGGCTTTAAGANATATTCAATAAAATTGATGGTCTTGCAGTCATCTCATTTTCCTCCAATTGGTAGGTGCTTGTAAACAACACCACAACTTTTTTTTTGTTTTTATGTTCCACTCAGTCATCGCACTTTAGGCTTTAAGAATCTTCTATTTCATGTTTTTATATAAATGGATGACAGAACTACAGAATCACCTGGCTAATTCACCCACCCTGCTCCAGTTTTGAACACTGTCCTCAGTACAGGTCTCTTCCTTTGGGAGATAACACTCCACTACAAGTCTTCTATGCTTGCGAACATTTTCTACCTAATAAAAGGGGTTGTCACTTGGTATTATCTTCTAGCTGCCTTTACTCAGTGCTTCAGTTCATTATTTATTTATACATATAATCTCAAAGTCTCCACCAGTTCTCCCGCCTTAAACAATACTAAATCAAAGTTGTTTTGAGAGCTTAGGGGGCTGATTTATCCTTCCAATACTGAATTTATGGTAATCATCCCTGTTTTGAAAGGGTCATGCTCTGTGTATTTATATAGAGGGGAAGAAGACTATTGCGAACTTTAAAGTGCAGCGAAGATAAGCTATATTACTGTCCTTGTAGCATGATGTTATCTACTTGCCTCCTCAGGGAAGATGCTGGGTTTTGGTCCTTGAAAGCCTTTGACAGCCTGTGGGATGGGTTTGGAGTTAGATTGTGGGCTAGAGCTTAGGGTTAGAAGGGGGGGAGGGGTGGAGCAATAAAGATTTAGAGGCACCAAATTTTTTGGAAATCCCCTTAAATGATCTCTTAATATTTTATTCAAAAGACACATTTCCATCTCTATGTTCCGAGTTAACTATTAGTCGATTGTACAGTTGGCTGCCATGCGTAATGTTTCAGCTACAGAAACTGCCATAATCTATGGATTGGAGCCAGTATGGGGTGCTGGTTTTGCATGGTTTCTTCTTGGTGAGAGGTGGGGCATCAGCGGATGGATTGGGGCTACTCTTGTCCTTGGTAAAATGCCTATTTCATTTTCTGTTTCTGACAATTTTGAATCAGCAAACTTGACATCTTATTTGTTTGTGTTTTGATGCTCATTTCTTTCTGACCTGTTATAAATGTATTTTACCTGTTTAGTTTTTCTTCTTGCAGTTGGAAGTTTAACAGTGCAGATCTTTGGATCGTCACCTCCCAGTTCATCAAGAGAAAGTGAAGAAAGTATTGAGAAAGGGAATCACTTGTTGATTTCAGATAAACAAAATAATTTCTCTACCTCTCCTGTAGTTGTCAACTCCAGAAAGGATGTTCCTGACGTATTGAAGAAGTGAGCTACACTGTTACGGGTGTCTTTTTTTTTGATATATGAACATATATTTTTTTGCAGAATTATATCAAATCATCCTTGTTACCCATTGCAAATAACTGACAGTAGATGTCCTTGCCCAAATATACATAAACTGATAACAATCAGTGGCCCATAAGCTTTCTGCTTTCACATGTATACATGTATAAGATTGTACATTTGCTTTTGCATGAATGAAAATATAGAATAGCTATGATATGTGGCTTTATCGCTTATGCTCAAGAATGTTGTATATTGTCAAGTAGAATTGATTGTGCAGTTTTTGAATCCATCTTGGCACTACATCTGCAATTTCTACCTTGCTATTCAAGAAAAAAAGGCTAATGCTGCCTTTCAAAAGCCTCCGATGGCCTTATGTAGCCAATCTAATAACCACGCAACCAATGCCAAATGGTTCTAGTTATTATTTTTTGATTGACAAAATGGTCATACCAAGAATTGTCTGACCCTTATCTGAGTGAGCTAGCCAAGTCCCATTATATTCTTGCAATTGACATGCTATTTTCTGCAATTTTCACAGCCACTATCCATCCTGCTGGTAATTTGATATTTATCCTAATTATTTATTGCCTATTCTTTGTTTGGGGTCCCAATATTGTTTGGGTTGGTTTATTTGTAGCTCCCAAACATGATTGGAATTCAATTGTTCATGTTCATTGGCTATCTGATTATAATTTTCCCAGACCCTTTTCCCCCCCGGCATTTAAGTCCTTTGACATGGAGGGACATATTTGCATTTTGTTGTTTTTTTTGTCGTGAAGGTATTGTTTTTTTGGGTCACATGTATGTAGTTTTATCTCGCANCCGGCATTTAAGTCCTTTGACATGGAGGGACATATTTGCATTTTGTTGTTATTTTTGTCGTGAAGGTATTGTTTTTTTGGGTCACATGTATGTAGTTTTATCTCGCATGTGGAGAGTCTAATCCCGTGGTGGTTGAGTTCCCAAACTAGACCAGTAAGAGTCAAGTGGTCCTCTTGGGTGAGTGTCTCCAAATAGGCCTTGTGACAGGGNCATGTGGAGAGTCTAATCCCGTGGTGGTTGAGTTCCCAAACTAGACCAGTAAGAGTCAAGTGGTCCTCTTGGGTGAGTGTCTCCAAATAGGCCTTGTGACAGGGAACTTCGAATTCTTAGTCATTGCAATGCCAACTTTATTCTGTTTTCTCACTTTATATTGTCCAGTTATCTCATTTTATATTGAATGGCATCAGCTGTAAGGTTCTTGATTCCAGTTTTCCCAGATTGATCCATTTATTCCATGTGGGGCTTCTTCATTTCTTCTCTTTCTTTCCCCTAATGATCTTTTCCTCTTCTGGCAGCTACCACAATTAGAAGCATGTAAAAGTAGGCTTGATATTATTAGATAGAATTTTAACCACAACCAGTATATTCAAATCCGAATGCCATCTGAATTATATAAATGAAACTGAGTGCTTAGTTAATGAAATTGAACTCGAATACAAATCAATTTTTTTTTTAAATTGCAGTTCTAATTAAGTTTTTGGAATTTGATCGGATTTTGGATCTTTCACTAATAATGAAACGGACTGCAAAAAATAAAATCTGTTGACGGTTAAGGTTGGATTCAGATCACAGCCTTCAAATCAAACTCAGATTTGGATTCGTCCTAATTTGATTCGAATCTAATGCATTGACATGCCCATGGAAAAGTTTAGCATGAGTTATATATGACAAGAAAAGTGATGTTGTCTTAAGGGTTTGTCATCCTCGTTATTTTGAGACATTCTCTAACTTAATTTAAGTCACGGTGATTAGTTGTTGAGCTCGAGGGAATAGTCGGTATAAGCTTGAAAATCTTGCAGCAAAAAAGAAAAGAAAAGAAAAGAGATGTTGGAATCACACCAAGTGGTAGACCAATAAGCCTTTTTGGCTTTAAAAGATAATATAACAGATAGATTGGAATAATTCTTTTTTCCATGGCACCAGTCCATTGGGGCACCAGGGAACAAAAACCCAGTTTGGGATAGCTCTTTTACCTTCTATAAAGCCCTTGTTCTCCCTTTGGAAATTCAAATTACTTATTTGGTTTGCCTACAGATATGGCTCAGATATGCAAGCTTGAGCTCCAAACTGAGATCAAATCATCCCCAGATGGGTTATTTGAAATCTACAAGAACAACAGTTCCCTCATGCCCAAGATCAGCCCTGATAAATTACAAAGCATTGAAGTGCTTGAAGGAGATGGAAAGAGTGTGGGCTCTGTCCGGCTATGGACTTATGTTTTCTTGGGTAAGTCTTAGGATTGAGTGAAGAAAACACTAGCAAGGGCAGGGTACCCATACACTTTCTTTGCACCCCCCGTGCCTTAGAAATGAAAAATCGCGTGTTATTGAATGATTTCTGACAACGATTAATTTATTTGTGGGCACCACATTTCCCTTTTAGTTTAAGTGGTAACAGAGACGAACTGTAAACTTAGGCGTCTTGAGTTTGAAGTTTGATAATCTCTTGGGGTCAGACTATGAGAAATTTATCTCTCATGAATATCTTAGTCCAGACGTGAAAGACCTGTCTTTGACCGAATGTACATAAACTGGTCAAAACACTTTTGACCGTTGAATTAAAAAAAGATTNATTTAGGCGTCTTGAGTTTGAAGTTTGGTAATCCCTTGGGGTCAAACTATGAGAAATTTATCTCTCATGAATATCTTAGTCCAGACGTGAAAAACCTGTCTTTGACCGAATGTACATAAACTGGTCAAAACACTTTTGACCGTTGAATTAAAAAAAGATTAAGGCTAAGACTTTGACTTAAATAGCCCACAGATGCACACACCAGTGAAATATGGTATTCTGAAAATACTACTGCACCCATTAGCCCATATTTTGGAGTAGCATTTGTTAGTTTATTAGTTGTGCAATTTGGAAGGGTTGGACGGTTTTTTTTTTTGACAAATTACAATCGGTCAAAATAGAAGTCTTTAGCTTGGGTTGGACAGGTTGAGAGTACTCGGACTTAACCTAAGTAATTAAATAGATGATAAATACCATAAATGTCTCTTACAATATGACCTTTGTTTTAAAATGCCTCTAAACTTTCGTTTGTTTTACTCTATCCCTTGAAGTATGTAATTGATTTCAATTAACACCTTATGTTAATTTTAGATGTTAAATGACATACATTTAAAGATGTGAGATGCATATGGGTTTTGGTTGAGAGTGTGAATTTGCGTCATTTAATGTCTAAAATTAACCGAAGGTGCAGTGAAACCTATTATATAGTTCAAAGGGTAAATTGAGACAAATACAAGTTTAGGGGAGATTTTAAAACAAAGATAATAGTTTAAGGATCATTTATAAAATTTANGGTGTGAGATGCATATGGGTTTTGGTTGAGAGTGTGAATTTGCGTCATTTAATGTCTAAAATTAACCGACGGTGCAGTGAAACCTATTATATAGTTCAAAGGATAAATTGAGACAAATACAAGTTTAGGGGAGATTTTAAAACAAAGATAATAGTTTAAGGATCATTTATAAAATTTACCCTAAAATATATAAACCAACTTTACCCCTAACACAAATTCAATTCAAAGCTTTAATTGAACTCAAGTTAGATAACTCCAATTGAAAATTAAGTTCAATTTGGTTGAAATGGAACCACAATTATTCATTTGGGTTGGATTGCATTAGGTCTCAAAAATCCTATAACACAATTTGAGTATTCGAATTAAACTTGTTTAAGCCTAACCCGAGTTCTAGAAATCTCTGAGTACGTACCATAAAATATATATTGGNACAAATTCAATTCAAAGCTTTAATTGAACTCAAGTTACATAACTCCAATTGAAAATTAAGTTCAATTTGGTTGAAATGAAACCACAATTATTCATTTGGGTTGGATTGCATTGGGTCTCAAAAATCCTATAACACAATTTGAGTATTCGAATTAAACTTGTCTAAGCCTAACCCGAGTTCTAGAAATCTCTGAGTACGTACCATAAAATATATATTGGAGTCGGGGATTTGGGTTGATCCTGCCAAGTTGCATCCCAATAGTTAGCCCAAAATTCTTTCTTTCTCCTTTTCTTTTAGAAAAGTTGTGCATTTAGGCTCTTATACCATATGTACCAGATAAATAATTTGGACACTTTCTTCTTTAATTTTTATGTGGATGTATGGGATACTTTTTGGTTCTCTGTGACGTCAAGTTGTTTTGGGCTCTGATATTAATAATGAAATCATGACTCATATATTGTTAAACTCAAACTTGGCCCAAAAGCTTAAGTCCTAGATAGAATAGTTCAATCTTTTTATATGAAGCCATCCATCCTATTTTGTTTTTGTTTTTGTTTTTTTTTTTTTTGGCTTTTTCCAATATGAAATTGATTTTCATTTACTATCTCGGGGTTTCTAACTTCCTTAGCTTAACAACCATTGCTTGCTTTTGATCAAAATAAACATAGGTACCACTGTTATAGCAAAGGACAAAATAGAGGCTGCAGATGAGAAAAACAAGTCAATCACATTTGGGCTCATTGGTGGAGAGGTTACAAAGTATTTCAAGAGCTTCAAAGCCACACTTGAGGTTATTTCAAAGGATGGTATGAACTTAGCAAAATGGACTCTGGAATATGAGAAAGCAAGTGAGGATGTCCCAACTCCACACTCTAATCTTGACTTTCTATTAAATGGTTGTAAGGAGGTGGATGCTTATCTTCTCAAAGCATGAAAAAAAGGATTTGGATATTTTTTAATGTACTCTTTCAGTCTTTCTTAATGCAAATCATCCTCTGTGTATTAGTAAGGGATCTACTTATATATATTGGATCAATAATCCTATTATCTCCTGAGATGTTGTAGTATCCACGAGTTATAAATGGAATCTATTGTGAACTTGTAGTGCAGTGAATAATCAAGAAAAAAAAAGAGAATAATAAAAAATAATAAATACGAGAATTGCACGGTTCAGTTGGAATTCTTCACAAGTCTACAAGAACAGTTGTTTAATTATATTATAATCTTAATACAGTTACAATTTATTTATAGGTACTGATTAATATCCCTAAATTTGGTCTTACTAAAAAACTTAGTTTGAGTAAATCTAATATCTCAAATCTTGATAAAATTCATGTACCATATATTTATTAAAAATCCTCAATATACTCAATACTATACAACAAGGGTTAATTAGCCTCCTCTTGCTCCCCAATATAATGGACCTATTTGGAGATGACTTTTTTAATTGACAAATTACGGTTTGAAAAACTTTGCAACAAATTAAAAATTAAAAAAAATTTCCAAAACCATTTGGAGTGTTCTTTAAAAAGCTGAAAAGTTGAAAAAGTCTATTTGGAGTAACTTTTTAACTTTNTTAAAAAATTTTCCAAAACCATTTGGAGTGTTCTTTAAAAAGCTGAAAAGTTGAAAAAGTCTATTTGGAGTAATTTTTTAACTTTTGTTGGCTTTTTTAAATCAAAATAAAAAAATAATTATATGTATGTATAAATTATGCATCATAGTTCCCACAATATGAATTTTAAATTTTTTTAGGTCATTAGTAATATTTTATGAATATAATAAACTAAAAAGTCATGTGAGACTCGTGATAAAACTTCAAAAAGTAAAAAGAAAAGCTTATAAAATTAGCTACTTGAATCAGCCTGCATAAGCCTTTTTGAGTCCAAAAAGCAGTTGCATAAATGTGGTAGCAAAGTCAATATCCAAACATACTTGACTTATTTACACCAAAACCTTTAAAAACTACCTATTTAAGCTAGCTCTTACAATACTCTGTCGCGTATTTAAGTCGTCTGCAAATGATTCTATCCGCCGCTCAATGAAAATTGTACTTCAAGACGATCTACGCAACTAGTTTGTCACGTGGACTTGGCTAAAGACACGCGCCTTTGGGGGCCAAACGGCCTCTACTGCTGGTTGGCAAACAGGTGGCGGGCGCATACATCGCATCTAGCCCAAATTCTGACTTAGAGGCTTTCAGTCATAATCTAACGTACATTGGCTTCACGCCACTGGTTTTTCAACCAAACGCGATGATTAATTATGCGAATCAACAGTTCTTCTCGTACTAGGTTAAATTACTATTGTGACACTTTCATTAGTAGGGTAAAACTAACATATCTCATGACGGTCTAAACCCAGCTCACGTTCCCTATTGGTGGGTGAACAATCCAACACTTGGTGAATTCTGCTGAATTTTGATTCACAATGATAGGAAGAGCCAACATCAAAGGATCAAAAAACAACGTCGCTGTGAATGCTTCGATGCCACAAGCCAGTTATCCCTATGATAACTTTTTTGACACTAGCTTCAAAGGTCTAAAGGATCATTAGGCTACGCTTTCATGGTTCGTATTCGAATTGAAAATCAGAATCAAACGAGCTTTTACCTTTCTATTTCACACGAGATTTCTATTCTCGTTGAGCTCATCTTAGGACACTTGTGTTATCTTTTAACAGATGTGCCGTCCCATCCAAACTCCCCACCTGACAATGTCTTTCACTTGGATCCACTCGTCGAGACGAGCCTTGGGTTCAAAAGAAGGGGCAGTGCCCCACCTCTGATTCACAGAATAAGTAAAATAACATTAAAAATAGTGGTATTTCACTTTTGCAGTTTTTAGCTCCCACTTATCCTACATCTCTCAAGTTATTTCACGAAGTCGGACTAGAGTCAAGCTCAATAGGTTTTTCTTTCCTCGTTGATTCTGCCAAGCACGTTCCCTTGGCTGTGGTTTTGCGGGATAGTAGACAGGGACAATGGGAATCTCGTTAATCCATTCATGCACATCACTAATTAGATGACAAGACATTTGACTCTCTTAAGAGACTCATAGTTACTCCCGTTATTTACCCGCGCTTGGTTGAATTTCTTCACTTTAACATTTAGAGCACTGGGCAGAAATCACATTGCGTGAGCATTCGTAGGGACCATCACAATGCTTTGTTTTAATTAAACAGTCAGATTCTCCTTCTTTGCACCAGTTCTGAGTCGATTATTCGACGCTTGAGGAANGTGAGCATTCGTAGGGACCATCACAATGCTTTGTTTTAATTAAACAGTCAGATTCTCCTTCTTTGCACCAGTTCTGAGTCGATTATTCGACGCTTGAGGAAGGCCCTCGCGGAGCCGTTCCCAATCTGTCCCCCGGTCGACACGCAGTGACCCGCTCTCGTCGTTGAAGTAGTTCGAGCAGTCCATCGACAGCTGATGGGTTCGGGACTGGGACCCCCGTGCCCAACCCTCAGAGCCAATCCTTTTTCAAAGGTTACGGATCCATGTTATCGACTTTCCTTGCCTACATTGTTCCATCGATCAGAGGCTGTTCACCTTGGAGACCTGATGCGATTATGAGTACGACCGAGCGTGGTAGGCACTCGGTCCTCCATATTTTCAAGGGTCGCTGGGGGCGCATCGAACACTACGCAACATGCGGTGCTTTTCCAACCGCTCGACCCTACCTCCGGCTGAGCCGATTCCAGGGTGGGCAGGCTGTTAAATAGAAAAGATAACTCTTACCGAGGCCCCCAGCGGTGTCTCTGGACTCCCTAATGTTGTCGTCAGCCGCCATGTCCTGGTTCAAGAATTTTAACCTAATTCCTTTTCGGAGCACGTGCGAAATGCGCTATCTGTCAGGCTTCCCCTGACCCTTAGGATTGACTAACCCATGTGTAAGTGTTGTTCACATGGAACCTTTCCACTCTTTGGCCTTCAACGTTCTCATTTGAATATTTGCTACTACCACCAAGATCCACACCGACGGATGCTCCGCCTAGACTTGTGCCCAAGGTTTTGTAGTGACCGCCACACTCTCCTACTCATCGGGGGCCTGGCACTTGGCCCAATGGCTGGGTATAGGTTGCGCGCTTCAGCACCATCCATTTTTCTGGGCTAGTTGATTTGGTAGGTGAGTTGTTTCACACTCTTTAGCGGATTTCGACTTCCATGACCACCGTCCTACTGTCTTAATCAACCAATACTCTTTGTGGGTTCTAGGTTAGTGCACAGTTGGGCGGTAAATTTCGTCCAAGGCTAAATATGGGCGAGAGACCTATAACAAACAATTACCACAAGGGAAATATGAAAAGGACTTTAAAAAAGAGTCAAAGAGTGTTTGAAATTGTTGGGAGGAAAGCAGATAGGGGGCCGACAATGCTACCTGGTTAGATATGGAACGGTGATGAGCTGGTCTGTCGATCGACTCGGGCTGCGAACTGATGCGAATTGGGGAGGTGGCTAAAGCTCGAGCTATTGTATGCCTATGGAGACACCGTCACCTCGATTGTGTTTGGCAGTGCGCGCCATCGACGTGCTTAGGCATCTGCGTGATCCAAGCATCGGCCTATGGGTTCCCCGTTTGATCCGTCTTGAAACACGGACCAAGTAGNGACTCGATCACCTTATAAAACGTGAAAAATTCGACTATCTCAGAATTTAATGAAATTTGACAGGGTAGCTAAATTTCGCTAGATGAATCTAACGGTGAGGTCTATTTTGTCATCCGAGTTTTAAAAAAATTTAAGTTTTTAACCCGTACCGTAGCGATAAATTACCATTTTGTTTTTTTTATGAAAAGTTCAAATTTACCCGAGTTTTACATTCTTCCTCAAAAGAATTTCGTCCTCGAAATTTACACACACATACAAACTTAACCGCGTGCATATGCAACATTTATATTTCACTTAAAATTTTAGAAATGTACCTCCATCCTTGAACAGAAATGGATAATTTGTACATATTGTGTCCCCACGCTCCCATATCGCCTCCTCCACCCCTCGGTGCTGCTATAGCACCTTTATTAGCCTCACAGTCATTTCTTGCAAAAATTGCTCCTGGCTATCCAAGATACGCACCGGTCCTTCCTCGAAGGTCCCATCCGCATCAACAATCAACTCACCTTAATCCACTACATGTGTCAGATTTGGAGTATAGTTTCGGAGCATAGAGACATGGAACACCGTGTGTACTCCCGATAAATTTGGCGATAACACCAATTTATAAGTCACTGCATCTACCTTCTCGAGTACCTCGAAAGACGTGATAAACCTCGGTGATAACTTTCCTTATTTTTCGAACCTGACAACTCCCTTCTTAGGCATCACCTTCAAAAAGACGTGATCTCCCACCTCAAACTTCAGAGGTCACTGCCATCTGTCGACATAGCTCTTCTGCCGGTTCTGAGCCGTAAGAAGACGCTTCCGTATCAAGTCCACCTTCTCCGAGGTGTCTCTGATCAAATCCGAACCCGTAGAGGGTTTCTCTCCTACCTCCATCCAGCACACTGGAGAACGACAAAATCTCTCATATAGTGCCTCATAGGGTGCCATATGAATGCTTGCCTGATAACTGTTGTTGTAGGTGAACTCCACTAAGGGTAAATATTCTTCCCAGCTTCCCTTGAGATATAGAACAGATGCCCGTAGCATGCCCTCTAATATCTGGATGATCCTCTCTGACTGACCATCCGTATGGGGATGAAAAATTGTGCTCATCATCAACTGTGTCCCCATGACCTGTTGAAAACTCTCCCAAAAGTGAGCCGTAAACCTGGGATCTCGATCCGATACAATAGATATGGGCACCCTATGCAACTGGATAATCTTCAGTATATACAACCTGCAGAATTTCTCTAGTGTGAAGGTCATCCGTACTGCCAAAAAGTGTGTCGACTTCGTAAGTCGGTCCACTATCACCCACACTGTGTCTTGTCCCCGCGATGTCCGTGGCAAGTGAGTCACAAATACATTGTGACATGCTCCCACTTCCACTCAGCCACCTCCAAAGGCTGGAGCAACCCCGCTAGTCTTTGGTGCTCGGCCATGACCTGCTGACACGTGAGACATCGTTTGACAAAATTTCTAACATGTCTCTTCATNTAAACATAGACACACACGAAATAATCAAACACTGAATATTGATCGTGAACATGAAATAATCCAGCATTAAACTTGGACACTCACTAAATTGAAATTTTAAAATGCATCCTTTAATACATCTNGGACACTCACTAAATTGAAATTTTAAAATGCATCCTTTAATACATCTGCATTTTACATAAATGATTAACAAAGTATTACCTATATGAAAAATGAAAATTGTAGTAATAATGCATGTCTAAAGGCAGGCACAGTGCACCTTAAAAATCGAGCATCCAAAGAATGTGACGCCCCCAAAATCGGGGATCCTTTTTCAATTGTTGACCACCCTTCAACTCGTAAAAGTATCCATGATTGTCACACAACCCGACATCACGTCAATAATATCCCTTTAACCGGGATCACCACCCACATGTGTAACCCGTGTACATTTTACTATTTAACCCAACCAAGGTCCGATATACCACAATGTATCCTTATTTTATGTCCATTTATATCTTTGGAACCAAATAAACCAAAGTCCAAAAACATGGCAAAATAGTATTTAAAATTTCAGAATTTTGGAGAACCTACCGGTAGGTTTTGTCTACTGGAAAAGTCCTATCTGATAAACAAAATTTTGCCTGTACGCAATCCTATCGGTAGGTGTTGCCCATTGGACAGTGATCTACCGGTAGATCTTGTCCAGATTTGCTTGTTTCACCTGTTTTTCATTTCCAATTCATTTCAAAACATATTATTTCCATCCAACACATTTATATTGAAGATTTTCATATTACACAAGGTCCGTACACAATTTCACTACATTAATTTACATGCCAAAACTAAGTTTTGATAATCATTTACAAGAAATCCAAAATAAAGCCACATTCCAACTTTCTTCATCCTTGAGGTCTCATGTGAGGGTTTACCTTCAGCGTGTATCCCGCACCTGAATTTTTTTTCGTATAAGGTGAGTCACGCCTAGTACAATATTTTCTACAGAAGTTACTCCTCAATCTAAGTGCATATGAAATGNTTCGTATAAGGTGAGCCACGCCTAGTACAATATTTTTTACAGAGGCTACTCCCCAATCTAAGTGCACATGAAATATTCGTGCAACATTTAACAAGCTACAACTGTTCCAATCAAAGATCAAGCAAGTCTATGATGGAATCTAACACGTCATGCCATGATATGTGATGACACTCACTCATGTAACTCTACCTGAGCCCTCCCTGACTCCTTTCACCCATGCAATGCTATGAGTATAAAATTGAGTTTTCCCAGCCCCCACTATTGGTGTTACCCACCTAATGACTATTTTAAATAAAAATCTTCGGGTCTTTCTTGGGGTGGATTTTTATGGACTTATACCAACGGCACCCAACCGACACAGAATTTATGAACTTCTACCAACAGTTTCGCGAATACTGACACACTTTATGGGCTCTTATACCAACAGAGTGCGTATCCGATCACCGAGTCTCTTACCTAAGGGATAGTCTAGTCCTTCTTGCTAACCTCGACCTAATTTTTTTTCTCATGTCACCGTGTGACTCAGTCGGATCTTCGATCCAACTTTCCCGAGCAAACCCATCATCCACCCACGTGGTGTATGATGTCAACCATGCACCCTCACACCCACACTCATGTCATAGATGCGGTTCCTTCGTGCAAATGTAATGTAAAACACCATTGCTATATCAATGTCATGTCCATATATAATGAATACCACATGAGCAAGTTTAACCACATATTTTCATATTCCATGCCCAATTATATTATATGCATATAATCATCAAACGTTATCACAATGTTAATATATCAACATTTTATTTTCAACAACATATCCAAAGCATGTTATCACATAATATATGCCAATAACACTCTTCATTCACAAGGCATAATATAAACACATAACATGCCCACATAATACCAAATTCCATAGAATTACACAAGTAATTTCCACATTTTAATTCCAAGTTAGGAAATTTATTTCAAGTTATTTCAATACTCATTTTCATTCTCATTTTCAATACTTATTTCATCAATTTCACAAACATAGGTAAGTGTTAATTCTCTAACAACCTACCCATCTCATATAACACCCTAGGTTAGAAAATAAGCCAAAGTAGGAAGGAACCCTACCTCTTGCAGCGTAAAACGACGTTGGGAAGCTTCAAGAACCCAAAATAAGCTTGAATCTCTAACTCTCCAAAATCTCGCCCTTGGAATCTCGCCCAAACCCGACCTCCTTGGTATGGTTTTGTAGCCCTTGGCCAGGAGAAAGACTTTCGTTCTTGGCCCGAGTGAATTCGACTGCTCGATTCTCGTAAATTGTAGAGAGAAGTGGAGAAACCCTCTCTTCCTCTATATCGGGGTGAATGACTAATGAATTGGGGGAGAAATCAGATTTTTTCCCCTATTTATACTTCTCAATACTTAGCCCACAACAAGTCACACGACCCTCTTTTTTTCGGGTCCGTTTTCGCGTCAAAACAATCAAATTTCATTCCGCTTTATGTTCAAAATATTTTTATTTTAACTTGCCTAAAATTATTTTATAACTTTCAAAATGTTATTAAAAATCTCGTTTTTGGGTCATCCGAGACTCGATCACCTCATAAAGCGTAAAAAATTCGACTATCTTAGAATTTAATGAAATTTGACAGGGTAGCTAAATTTCGCTAGATGAATCTAACGGTGAGGTCTATTTTGTCATCCGAGTTTTAAAAAAATTTAAGTTTTTAACCCGTACCGTAGCGATAAATTACCATTTTGTTTTTTTTATGAAAAGTTCAAATTTACCCGAGTTTTACATTCTTCCTCAAAAGAATTTCGTCCTCGAAATTTACACACACATACAAACTTAACCGCGTGCATATGCAACATTTATATTTCACTTAAAATTTTAGAAATGTACCTCCATCCTTGAACATAAATGAATAATTTGTACATATTGTGTCACCACGCTCCCATATCGCCTCCTCCACCCCTCGGTGCTGCTATAGCACCTTTACTAGCCTCACAGTCTTTTCTTGCAAAAATTGCTCCCGGCTATCCAAGATATGCACCGGTCCTTCCTCGAAGGTCCCATCCGCATCAACAATCAACTCACCTTAATCCACTACATGTGTCAGATTTGGAGTATAGTTTCGGAGCATAGAGACATGGAACACCGTGTGTACTCCCGATAAATTTGGCGATAACACCAATGTATAAGTCACTGCATCTACCTTCTCGAGTACCTCGAAAGACCCGATAAACCTCGATGATAACTTTCCTTATTTTTTGAACCTGACAACTCCCTTCTTAGGCATCACCTTCAAAAAGACGTGATCTCCCACCTCAAACTCCAGAGGTCACTACCATCTGTCGACATAGCTCTTCTGCCGGTTCTGAGCCGTAAGAAGACGCTTCCGTATCAAGTCCACCTTCTCCGAGGTGTCTCTGATCAAATCTGAACCCGTAGAGGGTTTCTCTCCTACCTCCATCCAGCACACTGGAGAACGACAAAATCTCTCATATAGTGCTTCATAGGGTGCCATATGAATGCTTGCCTGATAATTGTTGTTGTAGGTGAACTCCACTAAGGGTAAATGTTCTTCCCAGCTTCCCTTGAGATATAAAACACATGCCCGTAGCATGCCCTCTAATATCTGGATGGTCCTCTCTGACTGACCATCCATATGGGGATGAAAAACTGTGCTCATCATCAACTGTGTCCCCATGACCCGTTGAAAACTCTCCCAAAAGTGAGCCGTAAACCTGGGATCTCGATCTGATACAATAGATATGGGCACCCTATGCAACTGGATAATCTCCAGTATATACAACCTGCAGAATTTCTCTAGTGTGAAGGTCATCCGTACTGCCAAAAAGTGTGTCGACTTCGTAAGTCGGTCCACTATCACCCACACTGTGTCTTGTCCCCGCGATGTCCGTGGCAAGTGAGTCACAAATACATTGTGACATGCTCCCACTTCCACTCAGCCACCTCCAAAGGCTGGAGCAACCCCGCTGGTCTTTGGTGCTCGGCCTTGACCTGCTGACACGTGAGACATCGTTTGACAAAATTTCTAACATGTCTCTTCATTTCACTCCAA